TCTCTCTCTCTCTCTCTCTCCCTCCATACATAAAATATACACACACCGATAGATTGTAATGCACATGTATATCCCACACATGTGGGTGACATTCCTATGTTTCCATCCTGTCCCATAACTTGTCTCCTGTCAGTGTAGACCAAAAAAAAAAACATCTCTAGATTACTCCAGTGATTAAGAACCCAAAAAAAAGTCTGGAACAGAGGTACGTTGAATCAGGGTCTTGCACAAGACATTGGCAAAATCACAATAAATAAACATTCTCCGAGTAGTTGAAATTCCAACACACTGGGTTGTTCTTGATTAAAACAAAAGCACAAAGAAGTAAAGATAAGCGAAGCGAAACCAAAAAAACAACCAACAAACAAAAAAATAAGCATGTTATAAAAAATGTCTGGGAAAAAAGAATGTCTGAGGTGAGGCAGATGACGATCCGTAAATACCACCACAGTAAAAGGTGAAATATCATTGTACCTATTCAGTCCCATTCTCATAGTCAATTATATTAAGATAGGAATAAGATCGATAACATTACACGCGGGACAAAAACGTATGTACCAAATGTACTCTTCTTTAGAAGCAGTTTTTCATCAATAGGTCTTTAAGCGAAGAGACGCTATTTAATGGAGAATAATCGTAGATAACAGCTTTCATAAAATTGAAGATGAATTTCACTTTATTTTCAATAGTCCACACTTTGTCCATCAAAGGAAATTGTTAATTCCTACAAGCCAGACTCAGCCCACCGACAGAAATATGCAATGTTTGACCCATGATAAGAAAATATGTGCACAACCTGTACTATTTCATCATGGGAACTTTATTTATCAAATGAGTGCTCTATACTTTAAAAGATGTGATGTGGGGCAATGGTCTTAAACATTGAATAAACTTACTTACTTACTATGGAAGAAACATTTTCTTCAGCTACATTAAAAAGGATACGTAGAACAATTATATAGAAATTACATTTAAAAGGCTGAGCTGAAGAAAGGGCTTTAGAAGTGCGTTCAAGTCCACTATAGCGAAAGTGAAAACTCAGGGTGTGATGGAAATCTAAGCCGTGACAAAGACAAGGACATAGAAATAATACCAAGAAAAGAACGTGTTTAAAAATGTATTTACTAAATCCAAAAAGAGACCCAAACTTTTTCCAATCCTCAGCAAACCCTTCGTCTAAACTCCCCGCTGTGTTCTGTGCCTTGGTAAGACGTAAGAAATCGTGAGTGCTCAAGCAGGTGCATCGTGTGAGGTGTGCTCCTTCTCAACTGTCAAACATTTATTGTCTTTATGTCTCCTCTTTTTTCGGCGCTTAGATGACAAAAGTTGGGTCGATAGTGCCGTAAAACACCTACTCAATCAATCTCTTTCTTTTCCTTGTATGTCACTCTCATAGAACACCTCTAAGATTCATCACTTATACGAAACAAACAAAATGTGTTTTAAGAGCCGTAGAACTCTTACTAAAACTACTCTTTAAAAAACGTGAAGCGTTCAACAAGCACATCAAACACACATCCAACACATCAAACACACATCCAACACACATCAAACACAAACACAGAAAGCGCAAAGCACGAGGATACATGCAAGCGGGCAGCTTCTCAGAGAGTCAGCAAGAAGTACTGTAGGTGAGGCAAGGTTAATGGTTTGTGCTCCAACATCTGGGCAAGACTGGCACATGGCTCTACCCACCGTTCGTGCTTTTGCCGGTGAATTTCGTAGGCCCGGTCTGGCAAGACACTGAAAATTGACGGAGCTCGTCATCAGACATGGCAACAGACAGACAAAACACGCCACAAAGGACAATCATGGCTGCCAACTTTTCAAAACAACCTCCCCCCCCAAAAAAAAACAACAACACCAAACACACACACAAAAAAACAACCAACCCAGACTCTACCAATGATTCATGATAGCGGGCATTGTCCGAGTAATCCCTATCCAAAACGTTCACACACACTTTTCTACAGTCAATAAATTCAAGCTATCCACAGTAGAACTGCAGCTAAAGATCTCTCCCATTGGCTTTCGGCCTTAATTTCCATTAATATTCGGTTATCCAGTCTTGAAAGTTTATCATTTTTCTTCAGAATCCGCAAGACCGTGAGAGGCAATACTAGAAAACAGAGAACAACGTATTGTCCAGGTACTCGGACCCTTCAACGTATTCAACATGGACGTTTTTACATTCTGATTGGCAGCCGTGGACAAAGTGTGCGACATCATCAACTCAACCAGGACATGGCAAGACAGATGTTAACATTGATAAACTCACGCCACTTTTGACACACATTTCGGACCTAATAAGGATAACTTTTAATTAATACCCCCCCCCCCCCGACATCACAAGTGGGGCATCTAGGAGGCTTACACAAAAGACAAAAGCTGACAGCAACAACTACTCCCACTAGGGTCACCCTCGTCGGCCGAGGCGGACACTTTCCTGAGAGTCTCGCTGGCCCAGCAAACCACGGCGTGTCTCCACACACATGGTGGACCAAACATGCCAGAATCTGCGCGGACTGTCGCTCGTGTTGGCCCGGCCACCGATCCTACACCTACACATAGATCGGTTATTGGTGTACTCACACGACATTGCCGAACTTATCAATATCATAATATTGTAGGGCTCGTCTAGAGATACCTTTATCTACACACATAGTTTGCCTGTTGGAGTACTCACACGACATTGCCGAACTTATCATTATCATAATATTGTAGGGCTCGTCTAGAGATACCTTTATCTACACACATAGTTTGCCTGTTGGAGTACTCACACTACATTGTCTAACCTAATACTGTATTGTAGTTGGGATCGTCTTGAGATACTTTATCTACACACATACGTGTAGTTTGCCTGTTGGAGTACTCACACTACATAGCGGAACTTATTATTATCATATTGTTGGGCTCGTCTGGAGATAACTTTATCTATACACATAGTTTGCCTGTTGGAGTACTCACACTACATTGCCGAACTTATAATTCTATTGTTGGGTTCGTCTAGATAATTACTCATAAGACGCCCGAAAGCCGTCGCCATCTGCCAAACTGTGAAAGTAGGGCAACCGTAGGTCAGAAAAAGTCCCCCCTGACATATTTAGAGCACTGGATGGACTACATCGGCTTTACGCCAGGGACTAAGCCACAACAGCTCTAACTTTTCCCTCTGACAAACAATAACAAAAGCTTCGATTGTTTTTTCTTCCAAGACAACCCCGCACCACATTTTGAACTAACGTGTGTCGGGGAGCCGGATTAAGTGAAAGCTGTGGAAACCCATCACACCAACGCCTCCTGGTGGCACGAACATATTCCCTTACCCTACATAAAACGGCCACCTGTATAATTTAAAAAAAATAAATAAAAAACCACCACAAAAAAAAGCCATCGGTTCCTCATTCCAAGCCGGAAAACTTAGAGCCCCTACCCTGCCACAATCTGTGAAACGTGCCTAACAAAGCCGGCCATCATTTCACTTCACATCCTATTTACGTTCGCGCACCACTCGCGGCTCACGGAACATTGAGGCAACGCGTCATTTGTCTCCACAGTGGGTCGCTGGTTAGTGAAGATATTACAATTTGGATGACGCAAAAATGCTGGGAACGAAATCCGGCAGCTGCTCGCCGTGCTCGGCGTGCAATAAGGGACCTACAAGCCGGGCTGACAGCGCGTCATTTCCCTCTGTTGTGACAACTACATTTTCTACTATAGTGCGGTCAAAAATTCGTGGCGCAATTTATTGTCAAACATCTCCCCAACTGTCGAACATGAACTCTCCAGCTTTTGTACAGAGTCTTGTATCAATTTGTCTTAACAGATCAATATTTATGTAAACACCTGTCAGCTCTGTTCTAGAAATTCCTTTAATAAATGACAATAAACTAATTAAAAAAATCCGTGGGTGGTTTCAACAGATTTAAAAAAGTTTATAGCTGGGACAATATCGCTTTAAAAAGCAAGATCGTCCTTTTTTTCTAATCGCAAGATTATCTTTAATCTAGCCTCAAATGTTGTGAAAAAATAATATGATTAAGTCAATTACGAGAAATTGATACAAACTGCTGTGCCAGATATGGGTGACATTGAATCACCGGTTCGAAAGATATCTGAAGGTAAGTGGCGCCACAAATTGTTTTACGGCACAATACAACAAATTATACGTGATGTCAACTACAGGGT